GGCAGGCCGCGCCGGCCCAGCTAAAGCAGCAGGTAGAGCACCTGTTACTGGGCCACATGGGTGCTGAGGGTGCTTGCCTCCATCACAGGGGCCAGCTGCTGGCGATGGGGTCCACCGCACAGCCCTTCACACTGCAGAGCCCGGCTCTCCCCCAGTGTGACGTACGCAGCGGGAAAGCCGCAGGGCGGTGTGCCTACCCACGCCCCCGGCAGGCAGCCAGCGAGCGGCACTCCCTGTCAGCGTGGCCGTGGCCTCCGGGATAGTCGTCCACGGGATAGCCACACACGGGGCACGCCCTCGCCTCTCCACAGGCAGGCTCGTTACTGACGCCCCGGCTGCCGGACGTCAGCCTTGCTCTACCACGTCGCACCTGCTGGGTGCCCAGGCAGATCTAGCTACCAGCCTGCTCAGCCGGGGACCGCACCACCCGTGGGCCAGGCCGGCAGGCCCCAGTGGCCGGCATGGAGGCCGCGCTGCCATGGCACGGCCTCGCCTCTCCAGGAGAGACCCCGAGACTCGCTCCATTTCCTGGAAAACCCCAGCCATTCTGTCGGCTTACCCACGTGTGACCACGGCTTCTCGAGAACTTTCTTTTGAGAGATTTTGCTACAGTGTACATGCGTTCACCAGAGACAAACCCCAGGGAGTGCCATGCCACAATCCCTCCTCCTCCTCGGATCTTGGCGCACACGCACACATGCCCGGCGTGAGTTTCAAGCCGCCAGGTCTGGGACGTGAACCATGGCTACCCGTGTGGCAGTCCAGTGCCGTAGTCACTACACCGCCTGCTGGCCCCTCAAGCATTTCCCAATGACGTCCTGGTGGGCACAGTGCCCGGCTTACGGGAGGCACGCAGCAGGTGCTCACTGAGGATGAGAGTGGGCGTCCCTGGTTTTTTGTTTTTAATAGTTTGCAATAGGGCACATGTGCTTGCTGTACAGACAGGGAGAGACAGAGAGGAGGGAGAGTGAGAAATCCCAGGTGAATGGTCACACCACAACCCCTTCTCCTCCACTCTCGTCTCAGATTTTGGGCCACACATGCACCCAGTGTGATTTTCAAGCCGCCATGTCAGCAGTGGGCCGTGTGGGATCCAGGGCCTTGACCTCCACACCACCTGCTGGCCCAGAGGAAATTGTTTTAGGTTTACTTCTTTCATCAGTGAGAGACAGAGAACGAGAGAGACAGAGACAGCACTCCCACACTCCCACGGGGCAGCGAGGGCCAGCGAGGGCCAGCACCCTAGGTCCCCTCCACTCAGAAGCCCCTTGCCCTGCGGCATGCCGGAGTACATCTGCCTAGGGCCCAGGGCAGCTCTGACTTCCCAGACCCTGGCTGCCAGCCCAGGGCACCGTTCCAATGGTGGGGCCAGGCCGCATGGGGGCGCAGGGACCCCGGGACGGGCAGGGGTGGGGCGTGTGCACAGCTGAGCACTGGACAAGTGTCTGGGCTTCAGAGTTGGGCGTTTCAGAAACAGGCCTCCCATTGTAACCAGTTTACACCCAACGGAGAGAGGGGTTCCAGGCACCCCCAAGTACCTCACCCTACAGGCGCATCCACCATCGTCCCCCCTTGTAAAGCCAGGGGTCTCCCCACTAACGTGCTCCCTGGACTGCCGAGGCAGGTGTAAGAGGAAGGGGACTGCCTTCCTAACGAATGTACACCCAGTGTCCTCGGCTCCCCGTCAGGCAACGTGTCAGGGGGCGGGAACACGGGGTACCGAGGAGCCACGTCTTCCCCGAAGACAGTGCACACAGCGCGACATGCCCGGGGAGCAAAGGACCCTGCCGCCAGCCTTGCTGCCAGATGCCTGTGTCGCGAGTCTGCACCTGCCTGTCTACGGCGGCTCTGAGCCTACGACGAGGGAGCCAGATCCCACAGCCAACCGCGGCCCACATCTGCTGCCGGCCCACACCCCAGAGGTGGAAAAGCGGAGAAAGGACTGCAGAGTGCCTGTGCCCTGGGCTGGGGGGGGGCTGTCTCCCTCTGTCTCTCTGGAGAGAAAGCCCATGTGTCCACTGGCAACGAAGACAGAGAAGGCCCCCACACAACCGTCTGCAGTCAGACTCGCCCCCAACGCTGTGAGGTGCCTGCTCCGAGTCACCCCCAACACCCCGCGCAGTGGGCATCGGTGTCCAAGAAAGGCCACCTCTGGAGCTGGGAGGCCGAGGCATAGGCAGGGCTCCGTGCTGCGCAGGGACACGGGCGCAGAGCTGCCGGGCAGGGACACGCCAGGGGGGCAGAGCACCCCCAGGCCGCAGTTTCAGAGTCTGCTCAGAAGAGCTCTCACTCACACCCAGCACCCTGAAGGTCATTTACAGGCTTGTCACCCTCGGCATCTCTGTCTAGCGACAGAAGATGACGAATGGAAACTGTAACCTGTCAAGTGTCAGAGACGTTCTGGCAACATACCTCAATTAACAGAGTAAGTTCTGAACTCTGACAAGGTAACAAACACTCAGGCTTCTCCCCACCCTTCCGTACACAATGTACGTGGATCCGAAGTGCAAGAGGATCACCATGAGAGGATGCTCCGTGGGGTTCGGAGTCACAGGCTCAGACACAGGGCAGTGCCACACCACGGTCAGTCTGGGGCATCTGGACTTGACAACGCTAGGGTTTATGATTTCTCAACGTGGGGTTGAATACGCTCCGACTTAGGACGGGTGTAACGGAAAGAACCCTCATAAGTCAAAGAAACCCTCTTCTCTCTTCCAAACCAAAGAATTGGCAAGTAACCTAAATGAAAAGTACCGCTGCCCAAAACATGCACAACGGTTTTCAGAATGTGCAGCCTGGGCAGTTCCGTACCTCCTTCCGAGTACTGACTCACGCACAGCCGCAGAACTCGGGTGCAGCCGGCCGAGGGGAAGGCGGCCGCACGGACTCCGGCGGGAAGGTCTCACCCCTCACAGAGGGCTTACGCACAGCACACGGCGGCCAGCGCACCCAACCTGCTGACATTTTATCAAAAAGGGTCTTTTCCATTTTAACACAAAACATCTGTCTAGGGAATATTTATTTGGGGGACGACACCTTTTAGACGGGCTTACATCAATCCATTACGACTTGGATCCAAATGAGATTGACACATTTCATTTTTTTTGAGAGAGATTTTTGCTATAGGGCATGTGTGCTCGCCAGAGAGACAGAGAGACACAGAAAAGGAGAAATCACGCCCCCGCGGGGAATGGCCACGCTGCAATCCCTTCTCCTCCGTCTTTCTGTTGGGATTTTGGGCAAACACGCAGAGGCTCCCGGCGTGAGGTTTAAGCCACCGGGTCTGGGACTCGAAACGCAGCCGATTATGTGGCAGTCCAGTGACATAATCATTACGCCCTCTGCTGGTCCCCTATTGCATTCTTAAAAGTCAAACTCACCCTTCTTGCTTTGCTGTGGTATTTGACGGCCTTCTTGGTCTCTTCCTTGGCGTGTTCGACATAGTCGGCGGCATTCATGACGTTCTTCTCTATGTTGTTGACCATCTCGCCCTGAAAACAGAAAGTGTGAGCTCGGCGGGCACCCACACCCGCAGGCTCCTCTCACACCCAGACGGCCACATGCTGAGCTTTGGGTGGGCGTGACATGGAGGAGGGACACCGGGTCTGCTTTTACATCGACAGGTGCAGGGGGGACCACTATGAACACATCCACACAGAGGAGTGACGATCCAGTGTGTGTCTGAAAAAGAACTGAACGGTGGGGCGACGCAGGCACGGGCAGGCTCTGGGCACGCTCGGCATCACGTACATGAAGGACGCCCCGAGGCGGGGCTCTGCTGCTCTTTACGCCACCGGCAGCCACGCGCAGGCACGTCCGCTGTGCTGATGCGCGAGCACGGACGAGCACAGGGACGGCGGGTGTCCACAGGGAAGGTGCGTTACCGGGCCCTCTGTCCGGGCGCGGATGTGACCTGCAGCAGTGAGCACAGAGCACTGAGGGGGGTGACAGGAGACTCCCTCCGACTGCACTTGCTAGTGAGTGTGCCTACGCCATGTGGGGACCGGCGAGTCCGTCTACGGGGTACTGGCAGGCTTGTGAGGGGAAGTGACGAGGCAGGGCTAGGCGGCAGCCACCTCCTGGTGCACCTGGCTAGAACGAGCAGACTTGGATCCAGGGCACCACGAGGGCTGCATAATTACAGATCGAGCTGCTCTCTTACTGTCTTGCCAGTTCCTACTGGAATGCTTCCTGAACACACTTCAGAGGCGTTCTCACGAAACCCCTGCTTGGTAAAGGACGTTTTCAATTCTGGCCCCAGGAACATGCTCCCCTTGAATGCGGATCCTGAGTGAGAGGACCCCACGCGTGGGTGCTACAGGAGACCTAAGGGCCCACCTCAGATGCAGACGGCCGGCCTACGACAGTTCCGCTAGCATCTCCCTACAGCTTCGTGGACTCGAGCTCGCCGTCTCTGTGTGCTGAGGGCCCCCAAACCAAGCAAGCGCACAGCTGTCCCCCCCGGGGTTGTGGCCATCACCGCTCCAGCAAGTGCACTGCCCCTGAGTTTCCACCTTTCCCTTTTCTTAAGGGTTAACTTTATGGGGCTGGAAGGTGGCATGGTGGCTGGGGTACTGGGCTCCCACATGGTAGAATGTGGTTCGAGTCCTGGACCTGTGGCTTCTTTTTTCACTTTCACATTCCCTCTCTCTCTGTTTCTCTCTGGTCAAATTAAAATGATAACAAATAAAAATAAATAATTGTTTAAAACACACACACACGACCCAAACCCTTTTTAATAAAAGAATTAATTCGGGGCCGGCAAGTGGCGTGCTGGTTAAGGGCGCTGGACTCCCACATGGCCAACTGTGGTTCAAGTTTCGGACCTAGTGGCCTGCTTTCTCACTTCCTCTCTCTCTATCACTCTGTCCCTCTCTGGTAAAATTAAAATAAATAAAGTTATTTTTCAAAAAAGAATTAATTGTATTTATTGTTATTATTTTAAAATTTGCTATGAGACACACACACTCACCAGAGAGAGAGAGCGAGATAGAGAGGAAGAGAGAAAGAGAGAAGAAAGTGAGAAATCAAGCCACCAGGTCTGGGACTTGAACTGCAGTCGGCCATGTGAGAGTCCAGCACCTTAATCCCCACTCCATATGCTGCCCTCGACACACTTCAGTGACCAAGTTACTCATGATGGACAGGACCCTATGAGGGTAGCATATCTGTGTGAAATGAGGGGACACGTCCCTCGCGTGGCCCGGGGACGCACAGGAAGGAAGCCCATCAGATCTGAGCATCAGGCTCAGGAGAGCGGGAAGTGACCCACGTGGGGCAGCCTGATGTCAAGGTCTGCTTCCCCTGGGGGCCAGCTGCAGTGTCACCTGCCTCTGAGTCACTGAACCAAGCGTCCTACCCGACCCAGTACCTGGACTCCACGGAAGCCTCTGAGCCCCCAGAGCAGGGCGGGCACACCGTCCCCTGGCAGGCCCCTCCGAGCCCCCAGAGTGGGGCAGGCACACCGTCCCCTGGCAGGCCCCTCCGAGCCCCCAGAGTGGGGCGGGCACACCGTCCCCTGGCAGGCCCCTCTGAGCCCCCAGAGTGGGGCGGGCACACCGTCTCCGGCACGCACTGCCCGGCAGCCACGTTGAACTTCACACTTAAAAAGTGGGACAGACTCTAGCTCTCAGGGGGCCTTGCCACTCCTCCCCACGCTCTGCCAGGTACCTGGACAGTGGAAGTGCCATGTGGCAGGGATGGGGCTGTTTCTGCCATGGCTGTGTCCTTGTGGTCTGACAGACATTCCTTCCCATTACTGTGCTGTATGCTCCGTGTACCAAACTAGAAACAGCCATTTAGAGGAGATGCGAGTCCCGTGGTGCCACCTCCAGCACTGTGTGGACACCCTCCCTCCGGCAATGTCACGTTAAGTAGCTAGCCATACATCATGTATGTCTATATACGTGTTTGTGCTTACTCCTATGTGTGCATAAGATGTTTGTCTCCCTTTTTTCTTAAAATCCCAGCAGAAACAGTTGTCTAGGTCCTTTAAAACTGTCCGTGAACACAAGCCAGCAGGTGGTGTGGTTAAGGTGCTTGACTCCTACGGGACAGACCACAGGTAGAACCTTGGACCTGGCAGCTTGCTTTCTCACTTCCCCTCTCTTTTTCTCTCTCTGGTGAGCACCAAAGTGTTATAGTGGGACCAGCAGTTGGCATAATGGCTGTGTTGCTGGACACCCATGTAGTCGACCACGGTTCGAGTCCCAGAGCTGGTGGCTTAAACTCACGCTGGGCACGTGTGTGTACATGCCAAAGATCCCAAGAGGAAAATGGAGGAGAAGAATTTGCAGCATGGCCACCTCCCCTGGGGGATGATTTCTCGCTTTCCATCTCTCTGCCTCTCTCTGTCTTTCTGGCGAGTGCACGCGCCCTATAGCAAAAACCTCTCCAAAAAATAAATGAAGAGAAAGAGCAAGAGACTTATTTGTAAAAAAAAAAAAAAAAAAAAGTGCCATAGCAACTAAAAACAAAAATTAATAATCTTTTAAAAAGCCCTCCATGAACAAAGGCTTATACCCTAGGCATGCCTGTCAGGACGGCCAGGAATGCTGTCATCTGGAGGCCTAGCAGCCTCTCGCTGCCGTGGGCTCCAGGCGGGCAGCACCCAGCCTTCCACATGACGACCCAGGTACCGTCTGACCTTAGGTGGGGGCCGGAGCACGCTGTGCCCAGGCAGGTGGACCCCACGAGCCCGCAGCGTGCCTGCGGCCGGTGCACCTGGGTCCTGAGGTGCATCGCGCGCCCTGCTGTCTGCGCACCTGGGTCCCGAGGCGCATCGCACGCCCTGTGGCCCGCACACCTGGGTCCCGAGGCGCACCGCCACGCCCTGCGGCCGGCACACCTGGGTCCT